GTGCGTCAATCGTAAATCACCAGGAGTGTTTAAGGTCTTCATGCAGTGGAATTCAATGTCCTTCCTGTTCATAACAGCAAGTTTCAAGAAGTGGAAGACAGATAAATGCAAGCAGCATTGGTGGTAACAAAACTAAAATGGGCGACGACTGCTATCTAGGGACGGAGAATTCACCATATGTAGAGAGGCACTCGGTGGGATGAGTGAGATGGTCGAAGATGTGAGATGTCTATTTCTGCCCCTTTGACGAAGTAACGACTAGAGGTAGCGTGAAAAATCGCAAGTATATCCGCAAAACGATGCGAGTTTTCACGTGTGGACACAGGAAAAATCAGATTGACCCCCTCCCCATTTCAGAAAAGTAGAGATGGAGGCTACTAAACACGTAAATCACCATTTAGTGAGTAGTTGAAAGCCTTCGAAGAAGTCAGGTAGGGCCTGAAATTCAGATTCATCAGCAAGAGACTTAGGGATGGAGATTTAAGTACGTCTTCGCAGTGGCATTCAAAGGAAACTCGGAGACATCAAGTGAAACCTCCGTCGAACCATGCGTGGAAGAACACCGGAACTCTTGAGAAGCGTCGTGGAGTGACACCTGGAAGCTCATAAAAGAGAAAGTGGTGGTGGGCAGAAGATAAGCCAATGCAAGATTGAAAAACTAAAGGAGAGGCTGAGTTAGATCTACGGCACAATGTACAATGAAGTGAAGAAGAGTTCTAGGAAAGACAGAAACTCCCCTGCGACTCATTGTCAGCTGAATCAGAAGAAGCTGAGGGTGGGAGAAACCTCGAAACACCGTAGCAAATGATAATGTTGCAGTTCGAGAAGATAAAAGAAAAAGACAACACCAATCAGAGACAGTGAAAGAGATCCATATACTGAAGGGATGAAATGCCACTGTTGCAGAAGATTTGAAAGGCAGTAAAGGTACCTACTTGATGGAAGAAAGGCTACCTAGTCAAACTGATGAAGAAGAGAGCCTTGAACCTTTGTAAAAACCGATGTAGAATATTGCTTCTCTCTATCTGAAGCAAAATGTTAGGTTATGTCATTCTGGATGCGGAACATCGACCGGAGCAGGATGGATTCAGGAAAAGCAAATCATGAGCGCTTCCGATCACAGCGCTACTTACCATCATCGGAGAGAGCATGGAATGACAGTCAAATATCTACCTCAGCTTCATCGTCTTTGGAAACTCTTTTGACAGTGTCGACCGCGGAGTGATTTGGCAATTGCTTCAACACTGCGGATTGCCTTGAATATTTATAAGCCTCACTCGAAGTAATTCACAACGTGAAGGTGCAGGAAACCTTTGGAGTGAAGACGGAAGTATGTTAAGAGTGCCAATTATAACTGGCGATATTCCTAATCCTTATGGATTGAGTCATGCAGCAGACAGTGAGGATCGGGAAAATGGGCCTACGTTGAATCAACGAAAACCTAGAAGATCCGGATTTTGCGGACGATTTATTTTGGATGTCACACAAATCAAAGGATTTACAAGCAAAAACCAACAATGTGGCTGAAGAGACAGCTATGTCAGGAATTCAGTCGACTATGGATAAGGTAGAGATGGTGTGGATACTCAACCAACATGAGCAACCCAAATTATTATCACTGGCGAGGATCTAAACGAAGTTACCCCCTGAATTATCTTCTCAGCGTCGTTTGGGCTAGACGCCACAAACATAAGGATGTCAAATGCAGAGTCGGGAAAGCGAGAAAGAACTTCATTGCTCTGAAATCACTGTAGTTTAGAGAGCCGATTAGTTGAGATGTAATTAACTAAATCCGAACGGCAAGCAAGTTGTAGCACATATTTGAATATCCATCAATATGTCGATCATAATGACAAATCCAAATCACTACCTTTACAGTGCCAATAAACCTGGATATCTGTGAAATAACGAAAATATGCTGACAGCTGCGTTTCAGATCCCACTGACTCATTCGATGGTAATGTTCTGCTCCTGAATGCCTCATTCGACATTTTGTATGGATTGGTTTGCAGTCATTATGGTTCCAGACCGAAAAGAATCAAAATCCACCGGTTGCTGAATCATTAATAGCTCTTTGTAAGTTTAACTGGATTCTAACTGCTGTGGTGAGCCTCCAGCAGATTCTATTTTTATACTTTTGTGAGTAACCCACCATATCGACCAAATGTAACGCAACACTCAGTTGTTACGCTCATTTTCGACAAATTCAAACAATAATGGTGCCTAGAATTATATCACATAAATTGTTTTAACTTATGCAAAGTGTGTTACTGTCATTATTTCATTATCTTCCTTTGTATATATATGTCTTGTGCCAGTGAAAAACTTTAAACGTGCTTACTCCATGTTTACGTTATTATTATATTGATGATGCCTGTCAACTGGAGTCCCTCATGTGCATAAAGTGGGAATATATTACTATAAGATGCACTTCATTGTTATGTGAGGGAATTGACTTCAAGCTTTATTTTTTTTCCCAAGTATCTGTAATCCATCCAACGAATACTTGGGTTTATTTTGCTAGTGAGAAGTCAATGTCTCTATATTTCTTGATGTGGTCCATTGAATCACTAGTTATGAAATTTTTTCTCCAAACTAAAAACTAAACACAGCAACCATGTAATTTAACCATAAATCAAATTTATGTAATTTAAATAATACCTATCCATGCCTGTACAACTGGTGTGTCCTACATAAGTAGGAATAAATATGTACCTCATTATAATATCATTACTAACTGTGCTTACTAGTCGTATGTGTAATTTATCATATTGACGATGCCTGTAAAGTGGCGTCCCTCATGTACAAAAATGAGAATTTATTATCATTTTTATTATTAGTATCATTAACCAACACGTTTGAATGACTCAGGTCAAGTTGAATTTATTTGATCTCCTACAGTGTATATCAGCTGCGCTCAGCGTAAAGAACACGACGAGTTGGCCCTCCGAAGATGGCATGGTGGACATCATGTGAGGAGGAAGGTGACAACCATGGAATCATAGAATCGGGTGGGATAGAGATGCGCCGTTGAGTCTCTGTGTTCCATTTGGAATGCAAGGAACCTGTAATGATGATCAGCATCAGAGCTTATAAGAACGGTATTAATTGTGCATAATGTTGCACAGTTCTTTAAGGCCACTGCCCTTCACTAAATAGGACTCATCACCAGTGTCGGGCTCTTTTTACTCAGTAACCTTAGGTAAAATAAAACCACTTATTCATTAGCTGCGCATTTTATAGTGACTTACAAACATGCTTTCGCTCTTGCTAATACTGATTTTAAAGGATATCATTCAGCCAAAAGATGAAAATCTTCCTGCATAGGAAGCTGATATCACGTTTTCCTAGAGCCCTGCCAACATTAAGAAGGATCATGTATTGTCAGTAGTGTCTCATTTATGCACAGCAAGAGGAGGAAAGAGCTGGGAAATGCACCCTGGGGCATACCAACTGTCGCCGGTTGCCATAGCGACAGAATATCACTAGGTTCTACTCTTTGTCTTCTGTCTTTGAGGAAGTATCCATCCCTGTTTCTTACCATTTTATAACTTTGAAAACTACCCAACTTTGCCAGCAAATCTGAACTGGAAATCCCACTAAACGTTTACCTAATTGCGGGAATATAACGACCACTGGACTTTTAGCATCAGTTAGCTCTACTTTATCGCGAGAAAGGATGGTTGGTAAGGTGAGGATGTCCTTCGGCCAGATTACTCTCAGCCTGTGGAATAACGATAACCGAAACGTGTGTTGTTGAAGATATAGTGAACGAAGGCATTTTACGTGACAGAAGTAATCAAATGTTGGATGCGTTAATGGATCCTTGAGAGTAAAGGGTTATCCAGTCTATATGGATTGCATTAAAGCCTTTCAGAACTATAACTTCATTAAATCTACCCTTCTGCCTAATGGGCCATAATGACAAGTCATCATATTGGAAATTCAGACTCTGACATATCAAGTCAGTGAGAAGCATGTTGCCTTTATAAATAATATCCCAAGTGACCACTACGCATGGCCTGATGCCATGAGCCGCAGAGCATGAAGAGAGATGATAATATAAAGAACTGCATGCAGCCCCATGATTATTATAACTATCACTGACTCTAGCTATGCAGGCAGTTGAACCTTGATAATTCAGAAATCCTATCCATATCAAAGAAGGCCATGTCTCAGTGATAGCTATGGTGGCCGAACCAACTTGATCTAGTATTGCACCTGGCCCATTTATTTCCTTAACCCTACTTTCGGGCAGACCACAACTATTAAGATGATTTCTTCTTTTTTGCGTCTACCTTCTAATTGAGTCAGTTAATTTATCTTCTTAATTCTGGATAATGACGCTTGGACCTCAAGATTAGTGTTGACTGCGTTAATCAACATGACCCCACATCCATTGCGATGAGGGTTTGAAGTGCTGCTTATGTGGTTCCAGACATTGCCCAGGGCGGATCTTGTAACACTATTTACTGCATTAATAACATTACATACCTTCATACAAGAAATAAACAAAACGACCCATCACAATTATGGGATAAACTGGTCATGATGAGTATGACGCAAGGGAAACAATACGTATAAATTTAATTTCAATACAGCACTATCCTTAACAAAATTATTATGAGCTGAAATCCTACAACATTACAAAAACTGTATTCTGTCAGGAAATTTTAAAACATCACTTCCTCTCCAAATGAAGCACAATTGTATTTTAGTCTATTTCTAACCCACCGCTCACGTTTATTATCTTGTAGGAGGTTGTAGTTTTTAAGTAATAGAATAGTTTACACTTGAATATCCCTCCAGATGGTGAAATGTTAATCAGTAGAATTCTCTGCCGTTATGTATTTCTAGAATGTTCTTTTAATGCAATATCGACATTCAAGTGTGAGAAACCTGAATGTATAATACAAGGCTAAAAGTGTTTTGTTATTTCCCTAAATTATCCAGCAATATTATGTGAGCTTTAGAGATGTGGAGTTTTGTGACATTGGACATTGAAGGATTAGTTTGGCGGTGGCTACTCTCGTCACCAGCGTGTTTTGAGGTCTCGCACGCATCTGTGTGGTCTTGCGATTGAAAATGCAGATCTTTGTGAAAACACTAACGGGGAAAACTATAACCCTTGAAGTTGAGCCTGCTGACACTATAGAAGCTGTGAAGGCTAAGATTCAAGACAAGGAAGGCATACCACCAGATCAACAGCGTCTTATTTTTGCCGGTAAACAGCTTGAAGATGGACGAACACTGTCGGATTACAATATTCAGAAAGAGTCAACATTACATCTTGTACTTCGTCTTCGTGGTGGTATTATTGAACCTACTCTGAGGCTGTTGGCACAAAAGTACAATTGTGAGAAAATGATTTGCCGAAAGTGTTACGCTCGTCTACATCCGAAGGCTACTAACTGTCGCAAGCGAAAGTGCGGCCACACCAGTAATGTACGACCAAAGAAGAAACTCCGTTAAGCATAATTGAAAGTGAATAAAATTTTATTCGGATTTTGCTGTTTTGGTATTTCACTGAAAAGAATTTTGGTCCAGTTTTGCGTCTACTTTTGTTTCATAGCGTAATAACTCACTTAATTTGGATTTCTGAATGTGAAAAACAGTAAGTTTGTATTTTAGTAAGCGGCCTTTGTAGGGAGTTTAAATTACCATAATCTAGAAAGGCATTTGAGAAACAAGTGTATGTTAGTGTTCCTGTAACGTAGGTTGGTAGTAAGTCTTGAATCATAATGGCACTTGATTGCGTCGAGTAGTTTGCATCACTACTGTGTTGGTACTTTTTCCTCTTCTAAATTCTTTTCATTTGCTTTGGAAACGTCAATTCGTCTAACACGTATGGTTAATGGATATCTCTATAAATGATTTAAAATCGTTTGTTCAAGGTATGTTCCCGGTGTTGACTAATCGCCTATCGTCAACTTCGTGCATTGAAAGAGCAGTAGTGTCACTCGGGTTCACCCGTTTGTGAGAGCCTCTCCATATATGAATAAATAATGTAAGCTACCGTTTGATAGCATGTAAAGCTCTTTTTTTATCTGAGATTCTTACTGATTTCTATCACAACCTCAAGTTGTCCACTTCTTGTACAGTTAATGTGCATCTTATTTGCTAGACGTGTCCAAGAACTCTGATTTCTGATTTGCTTCCCACCATTAAGTCGTTCACCCTTAGGCTGCTCTGTTCGATTTTCTACTAGTACATCTAGCATCCTGAAAAAGCTGTAAATGGTTACAAGTTTGAGAGCTTCAGGTGCTTCTCTTTCATTTTAGCGACTACATATTTTGTGGGACGTTGAAGCATACTTTTTATGCAACTCTGTTAGGTAGGATGATTTTAATGTAATTGTCTCTGCTGGTTAATAAGCTGCATTAAATTGTCAAACTTTGAAAGAAAAATACCTGAAGTAGAGTTCACAGCACGTGTTTTGGTCGAGTTACCTGGGACAACAATAATGTCAGGAAGTCCATTTAAGTGTCTACCACTGAGAACAGATAAAATTGATTAGGAAATTGGCTGATCTGTCTTTACAGATCTGTTCCGTCATGGTGCATATTCGACCCAACTGTTCCAATCTACGTTCCAGTATTAAGGCATACTGATATACTTTAGACAGAAAACGAGGATAATCCTGTTTCCTTTACGTAGGCGATTTTCACCCATTTTGTGATGAGTTTCTCGGAGTCTAGATTTCATCAAGTGTATGTTTTTTGTAACTACTAGTGATTCGACCAATCCAAGATCTAAATTAGGATTATTTGCATAGTATTTCTCTTCATTAGATTGAGATTCTTGGTTAGAGATCGGAAGCTTCAGGTTGTGATAACTTTCCTAGTAAGTATCTGTTCTTGTCTAATACATTCTAGGACGCGTCAATTGAAGACAGACATTACTTCTAGGGGTCGGTTACCAAAATGGTAGTTAATATGACGAGCATGTTTATCTTTGAAGTATTTGAGTAAGCTTGGTTAAGCGATTGATGGGTTTAGTTGGCTATGATAATCAGGGATGTTGTTAGCCAATAAGTCCTTCGAGTAAACACGAGAAGGATTTGTCAGCTTTGACACTCAAAAATGCTGATGTTACGAAGCTGGACTAGATAACAATTATATACCCATTGTGACTGGATGTTATCGTAGTAGAAAGAGGTTTAAAAACATTCGTTTGCTATCGGGTCTATTTTCAGTTTCCACGTGGGAAAGATGCAGGTTTCATTCTCTGTGAATGCGGTATGAGTCTTTTTCATACCTGGTTAGTGCAGGCTTTGCTCCACTTCGGTTTATCAACACGTAAGAAGTTTCACAGTTGGCTTCCTAAGCAAATCATTAGTTTCCTTCCGATCAACAGAGTGCCATTATGTCTCATGTGAAGAAAATACGGAAGTAGTAAACTGTGGATCCTCTGTCTACCAACCTTAAATATTATTAATTATTTCTGCTGTGTAGTACAGTTGGGCTCGTAAAACTGTTATTATTAGTCAAGATAATCACAGGGGGATTAGCTTGACCAATATGGTACCTTAAGTTGTAGACTCAATAATTATGCGTAGACTAAGCGGTGCTCGAGAGGAACAAACACGAGAGAACCATGCAGGCTTTAGACCAGGAAGAGGGTGTATTGATCACATCTTGACCCTTCGACAGATTCTCGAACATAGGCATACTTACCGTTGGCGTCCAACAATCGTCATATTTTTTGACCTAAAGGCGACATTCGATTCTGTCAACCGAGAGGTACTCTGGCGATGTTTGGCTGTGGAAGGAATGCCGAGAAAATACATTGCACTGATCAAGGCACTCTACTCGAACTCATGCAGTCAGCCAAGTGAGAGCCTACGGAGAGTTATCATCTGCAGTGGTGTTCGTCAGGAATGCCCACTGTCCTCCACTCCTGTTCAATTTTATCATAGATATACTAATGGACTTAACCCTAACTGACTTGAGCGACTCTGGGATTGACTTATTACCATCAGGGAATAAACTCGTTAACTTAGAATATGCAGGTGATATGGTTCTCTCTCCAGGGTGAAGACGCCAACAAAATAGAGCAGAGTCTTCTGAACACCTCGAGGAGCAGAAGTCTTCGAATGTTTGGCATGCGATTCGCTCCCTCCGTCAAATGTAAGATGATTATACAGGACTGGACTACATCGACTCACTCCTCGCTTAAAGATAGAGAGGGAATGAAACGGTAGAGCATGTTGACCACTTCACCTATTTGGTTATTCATTCGCTGTTTAGAATGCTAGGCTTTCCAACGACTATGAATTGACTACTTATTCATTTTTGGGTTAGTCTGTCAACATTGTGGTCGTAACTTATTACAAACTTAAGAGAAGTTTAAACTCAGTTGCTTTACGAATTTATGACGTTGATTCGTTAAACAGCTGTCATTGGATTTTTGTTAGGTAGGTATTTTTCTAAGAAACTTGCCAATATTTTGAAAAAAAGTACTAAATATCTTAAATTGGTTACATAGATGTATGTTTCGATTGTTAAAAATTTCATTTCATTGGATCGCCATTCCATCTTAAAAGTGATGACATTGTAAAGTTGGTGTATATGATCACTTGTGATAAGTAATAGACCGACTCTAGGCTGAAGTCCTGAGCTCTACGTATGACAATGGTGAACATTCCAGGTGTTCTGTTGTTTGTTTTTGACTCTAAACATTGGGACAACCATGTCTTACTTCATACATTTGACTCGTACAAGTGTAAAGGTTGGCATTTATTGGGTTTGATGTAAATTTTGTGTTTTAAGCGTATGATTGGGTTTCAGCGTATAACTGCACAGCAGTTCAAGTTGCCACAACATGTAGCACACAAAGGTAGAGAACAGGGAGAATAATGTTATATGAAAGAACTATAATGAGCAGAAATATACGGGAGAAAGAATGTTATCTTTAAAATCATGGGGATTTAACGAGTCTTGGAGATAAAGAATGAATACATCTGTGGCACGGAGAACGGTTATGAACCGTTTCACCAAAGGACTCAAGCTCTTTGTTCTTAGCATCCATAGGGACCCCTACGCCTCTCTGCGTGACTCAAACCTGCAGTAAAACTTCGTGTATTGATGTCAGGTCTTGGTTTTGGTCAGTTTTAAGTAAACGACTCGCGTTCTGTTCAAATGTATTTGCAATGGTCTGTAGAATAATATACTATCAGATGCAGTCAGTAAATTACCGCCTCGGTAACTGGCCGTCTGTATGTTGACATTACCTCACTTATACTTCAGTAGTACAAAAACTACATCGAATGGTTTCTTTCTTGAAAGGAAGGAGTAAAAAATGTTGATATAAACAGGATTTAATGAATTCACCGATTATAATTAGAACTCTACGTACCATACTCACTTATGGTAATATATAGGAGGGGGGGGGGGTGCGGGACTAAGTCACAGTAAATGGACTATGATATAAACGTGAAAAGCGACGGTTTAAATCAAGGTGCAACAGGAAGTGGTGGCGTTGTGAGGAATATATCGTTGAAGTCGTATGCAATATGGTTCATTTGAGTCTATATGAGAATAAACTGTTATTAACCGTGTGTAGAATTCGGTAATATTATTACTAAAGGTTGTGTAATGGTAGTTCTAAGTGGTCGAAGCCTTTGTAAAGCTCTACACTGATGTGTCAGTCAGAAATTTTAACTTTGAATTCCGAAACAATTTGTTCCGTGTTGATATTCACAAATGTAATTAGGAATTTGAAATAAATGCGTACTCAAGTAGTACAAATTCTCTTTGGTGAAGCTTGGGATAGCATATTCTGATGTTACCATGTAATGGCCTTAGGCAACTTGGCCTTCGAGGCCTTCTTAGTGGATTTACCAGATTCGACTTTCGGGGAGCATTCTTGGGTAGAAGAACGCGTACAGTGGTTCCATGGGTAGACCGCTTGCCAACCACACACGTTGTCCGGGGATCGAACCCTCGGTGAAACGAATATTTAGGCAATGATGGAGACAGTACTGAAAGTCATAAGAGCTTTGTTTCGGCATTCTAATTCCAATTCTCGAAGTCAAACTGTCAAGTAGCATATCTCCATTTCACTCAATTACCTGAAGTCTTTCTTAGATGGCTCCACAATTGCCCGTAAGCCTTCATTTTGTCCTCATACCGTTTCCACCATATCAGCCTTGGACACTCAGTCGTCGTTTCCTATTCAGACTCCATTCTAGGGCCTGGCGTGTGATGTCACTCGACGGCCTCCTCAGCTTATGTGTCCAATCCATCTCCATTCCATTTTACATATTTATTGAGGGAAAGGTTGTTGGTTGGTTGCCTACCAGAGTAACATGTTGCTTATCCTTCCTGGTCGGCCATCTGATCTTCAGTGATATAGCGAAGGCATGTGTTGATGAAGGTCTACTGCCTGTTGGAAAGGTTTTTCATGCCATTCTTGTCAAGTCGTTGAACTATATAGAAACAATGACTTGACAGTAGTGTTAGAGAAAGTTTGGATCTTGTCCCCTATACTGAGCGCAGTAGGT